ATGACTTTTGGACCATCTTACTAATCAATACCCAAGCAAAATTCAGAAATCCATTAAAAATAAATAAAATACAGAGTTTGAATAGTCAATAGATGCACAGTGTAACATTTAAAAGGTATAAAGGGATAGATGGGTATCTCCATTCCTTTGGCACACCTTGTCAGCAACAAAATTATCCAGAGGCAACCACGGTCGCGTTTCTTGTGTACTCTTTCCAAGATATTCTAGCACCTTTATTATAGAATGGTAAAACGCTATGTCAACGAACCATGAAATTTGTATAAAATATTGTATTGATTCATTTTGCTTCATGTTAAGTACCTAAGCTGTGCCAGGTCCTTTGCTGGATTCACAAATACATGGTCTGGAGCCCCAAGAGTGTGGTGTGTGTATGTGTGTGTGTGTGCGTGTTGGGGGATAGGGAGTTGGGAGCAACAGTTACCAAAGGACAATTGGTATAAGGTAAAATGCAGTAAATAAGATGCAGGCAGAGTTCATAGCTGTGACAGTATGACATAGTGGTTAGAACTTTTCCTCTGGAGTCGGGCAGATTTGGCGCCCAGCCCTAATTCTGCAGCTTGCTCTCAGTGTGACCCCTGTAAGTGACTGAACCTTTGTAAGCCTGTTTTTCCATCTGTCAAAACAGACTAATAATAGTACTTACTTCATAGGATCTTTCAAAGGAATAAGACAAAGTATACAAGGAGCTTGGCACATATTAAGTCTCAATAACTATCAGCTAAAAAAAACCCCACAAATTTTCAGCTATCAATAACTGTTGGTCATTTTCATTCAAGATCACAGTTCCTTACTGGAAATCACAAAGCTGTAAAAACTGGGCTTTTTTTTTTTTTTGTAATTTTTACCTATTGATTTGAGAGAGAGAGAATCATCAATTTGTTGTTCCATTTATGTATTCATTCACTGGTTGATTCTTCTTTAAAAATATTTTTATTGATTTTTTTTTAGGGCGGGAGAGGGAGAGAGAGAAACACCGATAGGCTGCCTCATGCACGCTGCCTTCAGGGGATGGAGCCCGCAACCCAGGCATGTGCCCTAACCAGGAATTAAACCAGCAACCAACTGAGCCACACCAGCTAGGGCCATTCGTTGATTCTTGTATGTGCCCTTATCAGGGATTGAACCCGAAACCTTGGCACATCCAAATGACATTCTAGCCAGCTGAGCTACCCAGCAAGGACCAAAATTGCATTTTTAAAAAGAACAAATTTGGCCCTAGCCGTTTTGGCTCGGTGGATAGAGTGTTGGCCTGCGGACTAAATGATCCCATGTTCAGTCCAGTCAAGGGCACGAGCCTGGGTTGTGGTCTCCATCCCCAGTAGGGGGCGTGCAGGAGGCAGCTGATCGATGTTTCTCTCTCATTGATGTTTCTAGCTCTCTGTCTCTCTCCCTTCCTCTCTGTAAAAAATCAATAAAATATATTTTAAAAAATAAATAAATAAAAATAAAAAGAACAAATTTGGCCCTAGCCGTTTTGGCTCGGTGGATAGAGTGTTGGCCTGCGGACTAAATGATCCCATGTTCAGTCCAGTCAAGGGCACGAGCCTGGGTTGTGGTCTCCATCCCCAGTAGGGGGCGTGCAGGAGGCAGCTGAGGATCAATGATTCTCATCATTGATGTTTCTATCTCCCTCTCCCTTCCTCTCTGAAATATATTTAAAAAATAAAAATAAAAATTTGGAGGCTAAATATAATCCAAAGTGAGGCTATTCCGTGGTCTTAATTAAGTATGAATATGCATGAGAGCACCCAAATTAGTATGATTATTCATACTTTACAGTAGAAGTATCAATGTTTGGTAACTGGTACTGCCCAGGCCCTGCTGCTAAGTATTACTCTAAATTCCGAAACACAGCTGGCCCCACGGCTTTGGGGATAAGATTATGAGCTTGTATTCTTGCTAGGGAGAAAAGGGAAAGCTTTTTTTAGAAAGCTGTTTTTCTTAGTGCATAGTATTATTTTTCACCTTACATATCTCAGGAAAGTCCTGAGGAATCCTTCCAGGGTTTAAACTCACTGCCCCCTTGCTTGATTCCTGTATATTCAAGGGTTTGTGTGAAGAAAACACAGCGAGCTTGGAGTCAGGAGGCCTGCATTTCCCCTTCACCAAGCTTCTCTAGGTCTGTTTCACGATCCCTATGGCAACGCCTAGCAACAGTGCCTGGCATTTAATAGTCTCTTCATAAGCATATGTTGAATAAACACTAAAACGAGATCGTTTTTTACTCGCAGGTTCTGATTTCTTCCTTCCTCTTGGTCCGGTTGCAGGCAGGGGCAATGGCAGCAGCGAGGGTGCAGAGAGGAGGGATAAGTCACAGAGCCTCTCGGACAGCAAGGGACCTAAGCGAGTTGCCCAATCTATTCAGCGTCCCCCTGCAGGCGGCTGCACCCCCGATCCTACCCCACGGACCCGTCTGAGGGTCGCTCTCCTTAAGAGGGCTATGGCCCTCCCTTCCTCCCCTTCCAACATTTGAGAGGAGTGTTAGCATTGGGCTGTCAGCTGCACCCGGGCGCCCGGGGACACGCCTCGGAACCTCGTCGCTCACGGCCACACAGCCAAGAAGCCA